AAACACTGATCATTTATTGAAGAGTATAGAATAATTTCATATTTAAAGTACTTTCCAAAGTTTGAATTCTGAATATGAGCGGACTTTCCCTTTAATAAATCAGTTAACGAATAGGAGGGAGCAGTGCTGCAGGCACGTCACCTGATCTCGATACATGAATCAGTTTTTATCCGTCAGGGAAAATAATTTGACATTTTAACTGATCGCTCACACAAAGAAAAGTCTGGGCGCCACCATCCAGTCTCAGCTGGTTCTTCCTACCTGTGAGCCACTCCAGACCCGCAGAGCTAATTTGAAAATTTCAGGCTGCCTTCGCCGTGTCTCTGACTTCAGAGGAGATGTCTTGGTATAGGATGTTCAATAATTCAGCACTACAGGCAGCCGGGAGAATGTATACAGTGTCTCATTTGAGAGCGGGGTAAGTTGAGGGTTAGCAGCATCAGCTTCGCTGCAGCATGCCAAACTACAAAGGCATTTCCTGGGGGCTGCAGCGATCTGGGGAAACAGGGGGGGTGAGGGGGTGCCTGTCGAGTTCTGCTGCTCTCATTTGTTAAAGTTCCACCGACTGCACATACTTACCAGGAATGAAGATTTTTTTTTTTTGGCTATTTGTTTTTGTTTTCTTTGCCTGCAGATATTAACACTTAAGTGTCAAACATGCATAGCCACCTCCGCATGTTTCTGTTTTTGTGTCGCAGACGCCACAATGCATCCTGGTATTCAATAACCTCCATACCCCAATCTCCTCGCATTGTTCCAAATATCTTTTACATCTTAGGTTTACCACTTCAGATGCTTTGTGTACCATTGTTGGTTAGGAAGCGTTTTCACATGCATGGTCACAGCAGGAGGCTGGGGATGCCCTCTTAATCTGGGAACAAGCGTGGAAGTCGTGTGGAACAGGATTCCTCCGCTTCCCATTTAGTAACGCCCATCCTCACAATGCCAGGCAAAGCACGCCCAGAATGGCTCCTAACTCCTAGGTAGGTGGCGGTGAGGTGAGAAACGCATGATAAATGGAATCTCCAATGTGTGGTTACCCACCCCCACCCCTGCACTGCTACAGCTCCTCCATCTCTGCAGGGCGGCTGATAGGCCCGCTGAGGGCTCTTGTCGCCGGTTGGATTAGGCGCTGATGCAAAAAGAGGCTTAAGGGCCGCAGGAAGCAATGACTCCAAAAGGAGGAGGTTAAAGCGGGGGAGGCGGCACCAATCAGGAGATGCTCCGAGGGGCCACCTGCGCCTCATGGTGTCAGTAGGGAGCAGGTCAATCCCCTCGTGACATGCAGGTCAGGGTCAGGACTTTGCGGGATCAAAGAGGAGATGATACGCACACAAAGCCCAAAGACTAATCCTTTCACGTCAGCAGACAGAAACAAAAAGAAAAACTACAATCCTAGTTGTCCTTTGCTGTGCTGTTTGTTCAGACCAACCTTTAAACACTTTCTGGGTTCAAACTCCCTCAAAGAAACCTTAGAAAGAAGCATTGTGAGCTATAGTTGATGAAGCGTTGTCCAATGAGAAACGAGACAAAGCTGCACATTTCCTCTTCTCTTTTTTTTTTTTTACTGATTGGAGGCTCAGCTCACTTCCGCTCTGCGGTGCAGGACATGGAGATGTGAGAAGAGGCTGGTGATCCAACGAGGACAAACGGCAGGCTTATATCTACCAGCCATCTGTCAGCTAGCACAACTAATCCAGCAGCATCGGATGGGCCGCTCCTACCCAACAGAACATCAATCCTGACACTGACCTGTATTGAAGTCATCTACTCTGCACCAGTTGGCGCCTGATTTGCATTAACCTTTTTTTTTTCTATCTTTTTGTCACACATGACGTGTTGAAGCAGCAGTGGAACAGGGATTAGCACTGATTTTATCCGTCACATGGCAGCAAGGACTGCAGAAGTTAGATTGCATGCTTCACTGTTGATGCTTGTTTAAACTACATACTAATTATAATAAGTATTTTAGGTCAATAGAATAAAATGATAACCTTTAATAGAATGCTGCTCTTTCATAAGGAGATCTTCTGATATGTTTTTTATTTTTTTTTTTTGGTCGATACCAATGAGCTGGGTTTATTTTTTTAGGTGTGACCTGCCTATTCTGCTTTCTATGCTTTACATGTCACTAAAATTAGAAAATGTTCTTTCATATTCATTTCTAAGTTGACCAAAAATAAAGGAAATACAATAAAACTTTTATTGTCCAAAGCCTTCAGCAGCACTTTGCTTCATACAGCTAGAAAATATCTTTTATATTATCGAATGATGTAATTAATGTGGGGTAAAAAAGGAAATCACTACCTGATTGTTCCAGAAGCTCTGTTTACCTAATTCAACTTTCTTAAAATCAAAAATAAAATCAAAATGTTTGCATTTATGTTGTTGCAGTTAGAATGTGGAGCCGATGCTAATTCACAGTTAAAATATTATTTTCTTGGTTTCCAAAAAGCTCTGAACAACATTATATATTTGAAAATGATCATTTTTAGTAGAGTATATTTTCATTTATTATTACTTTATTATGAATTGTTATTGTTTTAGTTTGTTTGCTGGCTCTATTTCCTTACCATCTGCCAGCATTTTGCCAACTCCGCTATTGCTAACCTTCAGTTAGCATTAGCAGACACTTAGCTTAACTATTGAGATGAAAAGTGGCTCTTTGTTTCCTTAAGTCGACACCAACACTCAAAAGCTTTCCAACTTCATTTTAGTTATTCTTAATTTTATCTCCCAAAGCTGCTAGAATCTAGCTAAGCTAATGTTTGCTAACGTGGGCTTCTCTCCCTTTTTTTCTCACTGCTGCGTGAAGGGCGTGAAGATCTTTCCTTCTGTTGCAGCGTAATGCTACGTTCAGACCTGACGCAGCAGAAGCAGAAAAACATGACTGCTGCTTTTTTTTTTTGCTGCTTGTACCAGTTTAGTTCTGACGCGCGCCTGAAGCATCTTTGCAGATCTACCTGCGCGGTCGAAAAGTGGGTCTGACTTGCGATGGGCGGAGCTACCTTATCTTTGCTTTGCCCAATCATCCTTGCAGCAAAAGTGGAGAGGAAAAACTCCCTTTTAACAGGAAGAAACTTCAATCAGAGTAAAACAAGTTTTTATACAAAATTTTCTCTCCAGATTAATAATTATATCAAAACAGCAAGAAAAATGCTAGCGTTAGCCTCAGGGCTCAGCTAACTGTCTAAAAACTAAACCGTCCTCTATGAAGACTGGAAAGGAAGTGTTGGCCTAGTGGTTAGGGCACAGAGCTTGGAATCCTGAGGTTGTAAGTTTGAAACCCACTCCCACAGACTGCCACTCTTGAACCCTTAACCCCACACTACTCCCTGGGCGCTGCAGATTCAATTTGTGGAGAGTTTCACCATCTACCCAAGGAACTCCGAGCCAACGAGGGTCGCTTTCAGCGCTACCATCATCTAACCTGAGCCCAGTTTGATGACCTGCTGTCCTGCATTGGTGCAGCAACATCATGTGTCGATGTTCTCTCTGATTGGGTGATGTGGCACATCGAGCAGCAAAAGTTCAATTTTCCTAACTCCAGCAGCCCCTGCTTCTGAAGCGCGTCAGAAGTCAATGAGGCACTGCGCCCGCTGCTCAATACGCCCTGCAGGACCTTTTTGCTGCGCCTTGACGTGTGTCAACCATTGACTTAGCATGTAAACTAGTTGCTTCTGCAGCTTTAGGTCTGAACGTAGCATTTATAACATCTGCTTTAGCCTGCAGCCATTTCATCTTTACAGTCCGTTTCCATGCGGGTACAGAGTTCAACTCTATTTGGACATAGCCTCTATCTCTTTCACAAACTCTTCTCAACCTCGATTCAAAGTTTATAAACTTTTTAAACTCAGACCTATATTTCCTGACAATTCACACTTTTTCCCAACAGCCTTTTGTTCTTTGTGTATTTTAAGTCTTTTGCATTTGAAGTGGAGAAATCAGTGAGACAGATAACAATGGTTTGGTTAAATGCAAATGCTAATTGGGCCATTGAACATCCCCACAGGTTTAACGTTAGCGTTAATAGGACGCACCGCGTGTCACAGATTAGCCCTCTTATGGACTTAACTCCTCCATAGGTCGTTTCCTTTGAACTGTGGCTTTATGTAGGTCATCAGATAAGTTCTACATGTTGCATGGTGGTTAAAGACTAACAGTACTGGTGATAAAAATCTGATTGCTGTTTTTAATTCCATTTTCATGTGTGTTTCTGTTTTGTAGGGATTCTTTAGGCGAAGCATCCAGAAGAACATGGTGTACACTTGTCACCGGGAGAAGAACTGCATCATCAACAAAGTCACCCGGAATCGCTGCCAGTATTGTCGGTTACAGAAGTGCCTGGAAGTTGGGATGTCTAAAGAGTGTAAGTGCATTCTGGTTGTTTACGCAGAATCTGCTGCCGGGGCCCGAGGACTAGATGTCCTCATGGCTGCTTAATCCTGCAGCGTCTTTGGGCTGCAGAAAATGTTACATAGTCTCCACTTGCAGGGTTGCATAAGCAGTGTTTGTGTTTGCACATATCCGCTTTGGCAGGGATTCAGGTGTGAATGCTGATGCTTAATTTAGAGATTAGTATCTTTCAGTGCAATCAGACAATAAGCTGCACTAAAACACTCCTGCTGCATGGATTTCAATTCAGTCTAGGGGAGGAATGGCTTTTTTTATATTTATGTAGAAAATATATATTTAGCCATTCCGTATATCCCAAATTAAGTTGAGATTGTTACTTTGACTGTTGCACAAAACTAATTAGATATTTAGGTATGTAAAAGAATTACAACATGCTTAGCAGCCACAATTAACAACGAATCAGTGTTATAAAGAAATATGATAAAAAGGTTGTTTTAGCAGAAAATAGATATAATTTCATTTCTCTTTCAATTTAGTCTTGGTTATTATACATTTATAATAACAGTTTTAATGCTCAATAATGACATATAAAGAGCTCAGTAATAAAACTAATTCTTATATCCTTGTTATGTTCAGTTTTAATCAAGATAATTGACAATAACTAGATAAAACAACTAGAGATTCCTGGAGAAAATCAGTCCTATAAACATCCGTACGTCTGCCTGGCTGTGTGTTTCCAGGACGGCG